ACCCCAAAGCTGAATGCAATAGGAATCTTCTCCTCACCCACTCCCTAAGTTTGGGGGTGGGCAGGGGGTGCATTCAGGGCTAGAGAACAACAGCACAGCAATCCCTAGGGGAGCAGGACTCCTTAGCCAGTGCTGCATTACGGCAACTATCACTATTCATGGTTCTATACGTCTCACCATCCATGTACCAACTAGCCATCTGTGTTACGGGGTATGGCCTGGGTACAGAACATACGCTCCCCATCTCGCCACTACCATTCACAGTCGGACACTTGCTATTCCCTAACTCAAGGCCCCAAGTCAGTTTGTCCATGGTAGATGCTTGGGCTGGGCCACAGGTGCCTCCACAGCACTGGTTCCCTGGCACTGCACCAGCTGCAGCACCAAGAGCTTCCAACAGCCTATGAGCAGCCATCAGTTCGTCGCTCTTGCCGGCTCGTTCCATTTTCAGTGCCTGCCACAGGCATGTTTATTTTAAGGGTTCTGTCACCTAAAATACCCCCCAAGGCACTGTATTGCATGAACAATAATACACTCTAACAGCAGGTCCAGTGGCCCAGCTGTGAGACATCCCTGCTTTCCATCCACTAAACCTAGCCCCATTCCCCCACAAATCACTATAAGTAGCTACCTAGAAGAAGGGGGTGCAAGCTGGGGGTGCTAAATGGTCATGGATATACCGACCCACCCAGAGAGCGCTGTGAGCAGTCACAGAGGGACCCAGATGGTCCAGAATGGTCTGAGGGAAGGAGAGCCACAAATCACTACCTTACCACTGACCACAGACTGAGTCTCAGAAGAGCAAGTGAGGACACCCCAGCTGAGCTCAGTTGCCTCATGGGACATAAGGAGAAAGATGGTCCTGCAGGTACCGTGCTCTCACATGATTATGGGGGACACTGGCTCCCTTCTGCCTCTAGCCAAATGGCAGACTTATGCCTACCGTGATGACAGAGGAAGGCTGGATTTAAGGTTAAGGCATTGAACAGGAAGGCTGGAGATCTGGGATCATTTCCCAGCTCTGCCACAGACTCTCTGTATGACTGCGGGCAGGTCAGCTAACCTCTCAGTGCCTCAGTTCCCCACGTGTAATAAATCTTCCTTCCCATGTGCTGCTGTCTTGTCTCCTTAGGCTGTGAGCGCTTAAGGGCCGGGACTGTCCCTTGCTACATGTAAGTGCAGCACCGAGCATGATGGGGCCTTGATCTCTGCTGGGGCTTCTCAATGCTACTGGAATATAAATAACATTAAGTCAATGGGTGTTTTGCCTAAGCAAAGACTGCAGGACTGGGCCCATCATGTGTGTTTGACTAAGTTCAGCCTTGGGAATAGAGTGTAATCCATGAGGCTCTTGGCTAGCATGGCTGCGTGTGGTGTAAGGGTCATAGTAATTTAGCTCTGAACCAGAAGATTCATGTGGCAAATGAGGAGCCTAGCTACAAAACTAACAGAGCAGGAATGCTATCGATTTAGACAATAGGGAAACCACTAAGTGGGAATACAGCCAGCATATTTCACCCCAAAGTAGGTGGAGAATGACAGGCTGGTTGTAAATTACAATCTTCTCAAGGATTAGTAGAACTAAAATCAGTCAGTTGTTTCTTATCACAAAGAAATATCGACTACTGAATTAGCAGGGGGTGGAAGCATGACCCGTTGTATTTCTTTCTGATAAACACCGCGGAGCATCAAAGTAATCATTTCTCTGCCTTGCACTGCTGATCAGCATTTTTGAAAGGGCAATTTGCACAGAACTACCACAAAGGCTACTCATCCAAGAGCCAGCTGCAAATTCCCATTTAGAATGTGATGTACACTGAAGACTCAAGTCCTTTCTTACAGCCATGAGTATCTCTCTCAGCGAGCTCTGCAAGGGCAGTGAATGTATTTTATGAGAGTTGGCAATAGGCAAACAAGTCTGTGGCATCAGGACTATCCCTAAACGGTGTTGGTGTTAGGGGCAGGGTGGTATGTGCCATTCCAGCATTTATCCTCACTCAGAAACCTGCTTTCCATATGCCTGCTGATCCACAGCAGCAACTTTGGCCTCATAACAATTCTCCCCTCTTTCCTTCTAGAGGTGGAGCTGCTGACAAGATGGCCGTCATTCAACAGCAGCCATTGTCCCAGACGCTCAAAGGTATTTAGGCTCCCAACTTTCATTGATTTTATTGGCTGTTAGGCACCTAAACACCTCTGAGGATGTGGATCTAAAAGTGCATATTCAGGTACATCATGAATCAAGGTGTCTAAATTTAGATTTAGACTCTTAAGTTTAAAAGTATTGACTCCTTCACAGCTGAAGTTCCTTGAGGTTATACTGCACTTAAATGATCTTTCAGCTGCCATCTTAGGTATATCTATGGGCCCCCACCTTCATAGTATCTGAGCACCTCATAATTTTTAATTATAATTATTTTTTTTTAAATTAATGGAGATATCCCATCTCCTAGAACTGGAAGGGACCTTGAAAGGTCATTGAGTCCAGCCCCCTGCCTTCACTAGCAGGACCAAGTACTGATTTTGCCCCAGATCCCCAAGTGGCCCCCTCAAGGATTGAACTGACAACCGTGGGTTTAACAGGCCAATGCTCAACCCACTGAGCTATCCCTCCCCCTAATAATACAGCAAGCAGACCTATAAGGTAGGGAAATACTGTCCCATGGTACACATGGGGAACAGAGTCCCAGAGAGGCTAAGTGACTTGGCCACAGTGTGATGAATTGGGGCTGTATCTGGTCAACTGATGAATTCTGATTGATACTGGGAAATCTGCTCTGTCATGAATGCCTACATGTATGAGGATCTGCTGTTGTTTCCAGGTCCTGTAGCAGATACACCCGAGACCAACACAATGGGAAATAGTTAAGGTTCATGACAGCACTTAACTGTTACAAAAGGTTATGCTAAAAAAGCAGCTGAATCCTTAGAAAAATGAGCTTAGCATACTCCCCTGAAGGGTGGGGGAAAGGTAGGAGCAGTGGAAAGTTACCAGGAGGAGACCAGAAAAGGCCAGGAGACCAGGAGGGTTTAAATAAACAAACACACAGGAACAGGGGCCAGACAGGAAGAGCTAGTGAGAGGAGCAGGAGAGAGCAAGAGCAGAAGCTGGGCAGAGGCTCCGTGAGGGAGAGAAAGACCAGCTGGCATGCCACATCCTGCCTTCCTGGGCCCAGATGTTCCCCCCAGGACTCACAGGGGAAGGGTGAGCTGCAAAGGGAGGGCCACGGTGGTTTCAGATGTGTATTATTTTGTATGAGCTGTACTCTGATGAGCTTTACAGGACGAAGGATAAAAGAGCAGAAAGGCGGTAGACTGTGCAAAGCGTGCGCACGTTGACTGCATCATAGCTACCGCACGCCCTTATGAGAGTTAAACAGTAAGCCATATGCTTCCCACCTTGGGGGGGTGGGGGAGGAGCTCTGGGAGAGGGCTGGGGTTAAGTAGGAGATCACTGGTGCAGGTGGGCTGAGGCACCATGTTTCTGAGGAGGAGGTAGCACACAGAATCAGAGCCCATGAAATGCGCCAGAGAGGAACCAGTGCTTCAGTCTACTGAGACTCCAGGAGCTTGAAACGTTCCAGGGGACGCAGAGCACAGAAGCTGATATTCCCCTCCCAGGGGTCCTCGTCTGTAGCTGGAAGGGGATGCTCACTAGGGTGTGCAACACAAGATCTCTCAGGACAGCTGTGGCAAAACAAGGAATTGAATCTAGGTCACCTGAGCCCAGTGGCTAGTCACTGAATCACTGGACCATCCATCCTCTCTTGAGCTTGGCTTTTAGCCATGTTGAGGGAGGAAGTTGAGGAGAGGTTGTGCGTCAATGCCCTTGGGAGCAATGGGGGAACGTAAACAACAGCAGCCTCTGCTGCACCCTTTACAAGGGTGCAATGTGTACTCCTCCAACCGCCGGGGCTACTCCTCCTCAGGTCTCCCCTCTCTGGCACCTAGCGGGCGTCTGGGGCTGCTGTGTCCTCCACTCCCTGAACACCATGAGCAGCAAACATGAACAGGTTGTGCCTATGCCTTTGCATTCTCTGACCCCAGCTGATTGCATTCACAATCTATTCCTGGCCATTTGCAGCTTGCTCAGTATGTGTCCACATTATCCCTCTCTCGCTCCCTGGCAGGTGCCCACTCTGCAGCATCGACCCTGTGCCAACAACTCTGCTGATGTCCCATCAAATGGAGGTGCAGTACAGGCCCTGTCTAGATGTGCATAGTATTAACTGAAGTGGCTTTAGGTCTCTCGATGAACAAGGCCCTATTTTCTGTTTTAGTTCTGATGGCCATTTGTTGTACCTCAGACTGCACTTTCTGGAAGGATAGCTCTCTCCCGCCATGCTGTCCATGCTAAGCATCCCAGAGGATAGGAAGACCAACTCTGTAGAACGGTGTAGCCCTAACACTAAAGTACATTTTGCCTATGTACAGATGGCAGGATTGGACCCATTACTACAGCACTTGTCTCAGAGGTTAAGATGTTGAGGAATCAATCTTTGACAATGTAGGAACTCGGGGGTTGCCAGAATGGATTAGATCCAGATCCATCTAGTCCAGCATCCTGTCTCGGACTGTGGCCGTAGCAGCTGCTTCAGAGGAAGGTACAAGAAATGCCACAGTGAGGGCATATGTAGGACAGTATGCCCTCAGGGAATCAGAGAAATGTAGGGCTCAAAGGGACATCAAGAGGTCATTTAGACCATCCCTCACGCTGAGGCAGGATTAGGTATCCCTGGCCCATCCCGGACAGGTGTTTGTCCAACCTGTTCTTAAAAACTTCCAGTGACGGAGATTCCACAACCTCCCTAGGTCACCTGTTCCACTGCTTGACTACCCTCAGAGCTAGAATGTTTCCTTCTAACCCCCAGGATTTAGAAGTTGTTTTATGCCCCAAGGCATGAGGGCTTATATCACTCCCAAACCTCTTGTTGCTAGTTTAAACTCTACTATTATTATATCTATTTCATAGCAAGAGACTGAAATGAAACGCAAGCTGGTTTTGTCAAACATCTCTTATTTTAATATCTCTGTAAAACAGGAAACATTTATATGTTCAAACAGCTGCAAAGATGATGCATGTGTAAAAAGTGGAGCAACACAGGTTACCACCAGGATTGTCTTTACAAGTCCAATAGGTTTGTTCACAGCCATGTTTGTACAAAGTCCAAAACATTTCCATTGCGAAACTGGTTTAAATCAGTTTAGTACAAAAAGTGAATTGTGCATTAGGTTGTGCAATTTTATCTTACATAGCAATACATGTACAGTGCAGTAAATAAAACCAAAGTGAAAGGCCAAAACCCAATAGAGGTAACAGATTTATGAACACTTGGCTAACGATGCTTGACAAATCTGTGCAAATAACGGCTACTCTAGATGCAGCATGCAGAGAGTAAAACAAATTCATAATGCATGGAGAGTAATGCTTTCTAGAAGGCTCAAACTCAGTTAATTCAAGATAGAACACCAGGTTCTGTTCTCATTTACAGCAGTGTAAATCTGGAGTTGCTCCAATAACTTAAAAGGAGTTCTATCACTGTGACTGAATCAGCGTCTGGCTTACACTGTAAATTCTACTCTCCGTTACTCTTGGGTTAGCCCACTGGAGCTGGGGGCAGCAAGGAGAAATTGACATGGAATCTTAGAAGAACTTTATAAGGATGCATTTTTCTGAAAGTCAGACTTTTAAATTGTATTTAATGCCATATTCCTCTTCCGCCATAAATCTATCACTCTGATCCATAATAAAATGAAACAAGAGTATTTATTATCTTGTAGCTTGCAGAGTGGCTTTGTATGTAAATATCTCTTAATATTACTACTGTCTTGAAGTCAAGGAAGCAGTTTTTATACACACATTGCTGTTAATATATTTCACCATTGTGTTGCCTATTTTTAACAGAAGGTAATCTTCTGTTGCATTGCTAATAATTCTACTTCCATAAATATAACCCTCTAGGCAAACGAGTTACAATAATATCATAGCAGTAGTTTGCAATTTACAAACATGAACAAATGAACCCCCACAATGCCCCAGGCTGTGAGGTAGGTAAGATATCCCAGAGAGTTTTCCAGTTTAATGCAGATTTCAGTCTCATGGGATGAATTGGAGGAGAGGGGAAAGCAGGAGAGATTTGCTCAAACTGGAACTCTCAGAAAGAGAACCAGCTTTCACAAAAAAGTGTATAGTACAACAGAGCTATTTAATGTTGCTTAAGGACCAGATTCAACCCCCCTGCCCCCAAAATCAATGGAGCTTTCCATCAACTTGAACTGGAGTTGGATCAGGCCCTAAATAAGGGACTATTAGATAGCAAATCAATGGGAAGGGAAGAATTGCACGTTTAGTGTGACAGTTCTATATACACACACTCACAGAGCTGGTTTAGTAATACTTTCCTTTTGACATGGGTACAGAATGAAAGGAGCTAATGATATCTACATAGCTGATATTGCTAGGGGAAAACCGCCATCCATTCCAATTGTTGGAGCTCTGCCTGCTCTGAAAGTAGCTCACTAGAGCTTTGGGGTCATGTCCTGCCATCAACTTATTTATGAAAACTTCCACCAATGGCAGTGGGCCCTAAAGCTAGAATGATGGCAGAAAATAGCTCTAAGTTGTTCAAACAACCAGAACCAAATGAATTGGCACCCCCACTTGAGAGCATCACTGGGAGCAGAGAATATTGATTCAAAATACAGGAGCAAAAGTCTACAGTGACATAGGAGAGACAACTGACCTTCAACTTGAAACAGTCATGGTCTCAGAGCTTCCTAGCTGCCCTTCCGATATTAAAGCTAACTGAATACAGCTGCAGTCCATGATAGGGTACGTTACTTCCTAGCCACCAGCCAAAGTCATTCTCCTGGCCACCAATATGCTGTTACGCAGAACATCCAAATTACTCTCTGTGGCAACTTACCAGTGATGCTGATCAATTCTCAACCCAGTGAGCCAGCGTATAAATAATTTACCAACCTATTTTATGCTGGTTTAGAAATGCTTTAGAAATCAACATTTCCTAACACAGCGCGACAAGCGAGATAGTGCACGCAGTACAGCGCCTGTCCATGCTGGTCTGACAGCCCGTTAGAATAAGTCTCAAGTAAGAGGGGGGTCTCCAAGACGAGCGGCAATAGCAGAGGTTCTTATTGGAGGAGATGGGATTCCATGGTTTCAATGTTCTGCAGCACTTGCAGCACTACTTCGTAGCAGAATAGGTACTGGTCCTGGACATGTGGAGAAAACAGCATGGAGTCACCCAGTTACATTCCGTAGACACATAGAAAAGACTGCCTGGCTTGGGAGCACATCTGTAACATGAATATAATCTAGGGCTGCATGAAACTTAGGGAGAGCCTCCTTCCCCTCCCCCACCCACTTTCTTGCATTCTGTCCTCCTTAGCCTTAAGGTCAGTGCTTAATTTCTAATGAAAGAGGTACTGGGGCTCAAGCAATTTTTTTACATTCAGAACTGATGCAGCAAGCCCAGAGGTGCTGGGGCTCTGAACTGCCAGGCCCAGAGGTGCCGGGGCTATCAACTGCCGGGCCCAGAGGTGCCGGGGCTCTGATCTGCCAAGCCCAGCGGTGCCAAGGCTATGAACTGCCAAGCCTAGAGGTGGCGGGGCTCAGCCCTCGCAAGCCCTGGCACAAATTAAGCTCTGTTTATGGCTCCGATTCAGTAGAGAACTTGAGTACATATTTAAGTCTCATGAACTTCTATTGAAGTGAAGCATGTGCCTTGCTGAATCAGGGACGTTAGAAAAAGTTGGCCTGGTCTCAAGGTGGAGACCTTACCTTGGTCTGAATCATGCCAAATCGCTGATGCCTCAGCTCTCTCACTATCTGCTTGATGTTGAACTGTCAGGAGAGAACAGTGTTATTTCATTGCAGGCCAAGTTATTAAAAAGAATATGCTTGATGGGGAAGTGTAAGGTTGTTCCTTCCCTGCTTTAGTATTAATTATTGTCCCCACACTCAACAGGAATCAGAACTTAATACCATTTCCTTTCGAAAACTGACTTGAGTTGATTTAACCTGGGGCGAATTGGTGTCCCTTCACAAATAAACCCATGGTAAATGATTTGGTTTAGATATACTCACACATAGATCTTTTTCAATGCAGCTCAGCAAAATATCAATACAAAGCAGAACCCCGCTCCTTCCAATCCCAGCGCTGCAGTGGGCCGTTATGGGGCCCGTCTGGTGAATTTTTCTCATGTAGCGAATGAATTTGACGAGATGCTCTATCAGTCTGGGAGTACCGTGATCTGGCCAAGTGGTAAACTGCAAGTGTTTTACAAAGCGTCTCTCTCCTGTCTGGAAAAGAGCAATCACCAATGTGAATTTCATTTAGGAGTTACTCCTGTAAAGTCAACGAGAAAACTAAGGACTGTGGCTTCCCACGTGGAATAAGCAATAAAGAAAGAGAGACTCTGCTTTCAAGACAGATAGGGAGAGACTAGGATTAACCATTCTAAACAATCACAGAGACACTGTGGTGCTTTAATATTTTTAAGTGCTCTGAGATCCTCAGATAGGAAGGGCTATGAAAGTGCTACAAGTTATAACAAGCCATATCCTGAAGCTTTGTAAGGACTTTGGCCAAATGTTAAAAGTATTAAAATTTCTATTTCAAGTAATCATTTTTCCTTCCTGCTCAACAGGCATTTAATGTCTGATGTGCACTTTGATTTCCTCAGCAGTAATACATTGTTGCACCTGTATAAGCACCCTTGGGCTCTCAGAGGTTTCACACAGGCATTAAAGAAGAATAAACAGGCTTCCATGGGTCAGTGACTGATCTTACTTATGCCAGTGTAAATGAGATCAGCCTCTTTGGCACAGTCTACTTCTCCTCTTCATGGTTTGAGCATTGGGCATCTGCACTGATTTTGTAAATCTGGCCCGTAGTTCAAAGGTAATGAGCTAAATGTGTTCACCAAGCGTACAAACAACTGCTAGGTAGAGATCTCTACTTCAGTGTTTTCCATAATACCTATCACTGTTAGCAGCCATAATGGGCATCTTGGGATACTGAAGGCGTGGATAATGGGAATAGTACTTTGGACAAAAGACCTTCACCAGAACCTTCACCCAGAACTCAAAATGAACCTTTTGGGCTCAAAACTGTTCCATTAACTTTTGTCCACCCCATGGGATCCCTGCATCTCATGGTTCTGGCTAGGGCAGACAGTGAAATGTCCTGGGAAGACCACCCTAACTGTATTTCTATGCCAAATGGAAGCAGGAAGGACTGGACATCTTGGCCAAGAGCCTGTTCTCATCCAGCAGATTCAGGAATCTCCAAATGTTTGGACATCACTAGAGCCCTACCAAATTCACAGTCCATTTTGGTCAATTTCACAGTCAGAGGATTTGAAAAATCATAAATTTCATGATTTCAGCGATTTAAATCTGAAATGTCATGGTGTTGTAATGATAGGGGTCCTGACCGAAAAAGGAGTTGTGGAGGGTTGCAAAGGTATTGTAAGTGGAGGTTGTGGTACTGCTACCTTTACTTCTGTGCAGCTGCTGACAGTGGCACTATCTTCAGAGCTGGGCAGCTGGAGAGTGGCGCCTGCAGGCCGGAAGCCCAGCTCTGAAGGCAGAGCCGCCACCAGCAGCAGCACAGAAGTAAGGATAGCATGGTATGGTATTGCCACCCTTACTTTTGTTCTGTTGCTGGTGGGGCGCTGCCTTCAGAGCTGGGCCCTCAGTCAGCAGCTGCCACTCTCAAGCCATCCAGCTCTGAAGGCAGTGCAGAAGTAAGGGGAGCAATATCGCAACACCCCCTAAAATAACCTTGCGATCCCCCTGCAACTCCCTTTTGGGTCAAGACCCCCAATTTGAGAAACGCTGGTCTCCCCCATGAAATCTGTATAGTATAGGGCAGGGATCTCAAACTCAAATCACCACAAGAGCCACATGAGGACTAGTACATTGGCCCGAGGGCCGCATCACTGAAACCTTTTCATACGATACAAAAGTATAGTCAAAAATGAAAAAAATTAAGAATAATATTGTATGCTATTAAAAGTCAGTGTATTAACTTTTTTTAAACTGTAATGCAAAAAGTCAGTGCTAATTTTGACAGTCATTTCATTTTTGGCCACTTAGCTGGCAGCATTTTGCATCAACCAGAGCATCAATATTAGATTTGGTATCCTGAGACTAAACCAATTTCAGTGTTGCTTGCAAATGTTTGTCAGTGAGCCTTAACCTTAACACAGATTTGTTAATCTTCATGGAAGAGAAGAACTGTTCATATATATCTGTACTTCCAAACATTGCCATTATCCTTGCGGAAGCAGAGAATAACATGGGAAATCTTTCTTGTGAAAGAAACCGGTAGAATTCTGGAATTCCAACATCTGTATACTTCTGCTTCAAAATGGTATCACACTAAAGCTCCATTGACACCATCTGCATTTCCTCTGCAACATTGTCAATTTCCACAGCAAATGGTGTGGAAAAAAGTTGAAAATGTGGTTCAAGTGCCTTGAAATCTTTAAACCGCACATCAAACTGTTTGCGTAAGTTAGAAATGATATCTGCATATTCTTTCAAGGATTTGGGTTCAACTTTTCCTAAGGAATTCAGAATCGAGAAATGGACCAAATTGCCAGCAGTCAGCTGTTTCCCCCACAAAGTAAGCTTGATTTTGAATGACTTACCACTGTCATACATCTGTGCTATCACCTGTTTTCTACCCTGAAGCTTCAAGTTCAGTGCATTCAGGTGATGAGTTACATCTGTTCGAAAAGCAAGGTTGCTGATAAAAGTGGAATCAGCAAGCTGTGGAACCTCCTTGTTTTTCATTTTCATGAAGGAATCAATTTCCTCGCTAAGAGCAAAAAAATGCTTCAAAACATTTCCATGACTCAGCCATCTAACTTCAGTGTGATACAGAAGTTCCCCACATTCGCTGTCCATACATTGACTTCAGTGGAGCCAGGATTTCACTCTAAACAATTAGAGACAAATCTGGCAAACTCCTGTTGAGACAGATCCTTTGAGGAGCTGAGCATGCCCAACTGGAATTTAGGATGTTCAGCTGGTACTTGGTGTATTGCAGGATATTGCACAAGTGACATTTTTCCTGAGTAAAAATCCTGAATCTCAGGATTTGATATATGGTCAGCATTTAAAAAAAATATATAACAAAACAACAACTGGCCGACCTTTATAGCCTATAGGATTTCTATTTAAGTATGTACAATAGAGTACCTGAATTTGAATGTATCTTATTTAAGACGCTGAAGTTAAGCCAATGCATGAATTTAATTTTAATTAATAAAAATCTTAGCATGTTTGCAGACAATTCATAAACAGGAAGAAGGCTATAATGACTGAATAGTTCACCCAACTCTGCTGTCAAACAAGCACCTTCTCCTGTTATAATGAGAGCATAAATGTCCCCACCCCCACCTCACCCCTTCCATGAGGCCCCATCCCTGCCCTGCATCTTCCCACCCTTCCACATCCCCATTCCAATCCCTTCCCCAAAGTCCCCACCCCAGCTCTGCCCCCTCCCTGCCCCTATTCCAACCCCTTCCCCAAATCCCCGCCCCGGCCCTCCTCTTCTCCACTTCCTTCCCTGAGCGCGCCGTGTCCCCGCTCCTCCCCCATCCCTCCTGGAAAGTCCTAAGCGCCACCAAACAGCTGTTTGGCAGTGGGAAGCGCTAGGAGGTAGGCAGAGGAGCGGGGACACGGCACGCTTGAGGGAGGGCTCGGGGGAGGGGAGTTTGGCTGCCAGTGGGTGCAGAGCATCCACTAATTTTTCCCTGTGGGTGCTCCAGCCCCGGAGCACCCACAGAGTCGGCACCTATGGCAGTCCACAGGAAATAACTCTGCGGGCTGCAGGCATCCTGCGGTCGCGTGTTTGAGACCCCTGGTATAGGGTAAAAGCACGCAGAAGACCAGATTTCACATCAGGAGACCAGATTTCACGGTCCGTGATCCATTTTTCATGACCGCGAATTTGGTAAGGCCCTAGACATCACACGTGGCTGCTTCTCTGAACTGAGTGTGGATTGCCCATCAGTGCAGCCAAAGAACCGCCCCCCCCAATCCCCACAGTTGTCCTTACTGAGGACACAGATTTATAAAGGTTCTAATCCGAGCACATCCTGCAAGTGCCCTCAACATCCACTGCCATTAAAGGCCTTCAGTCCCTGTCCTGAAAACTGCAGGGTCAGATCTACTGTTTCTGCACAGAGCTAAGGAAAAATCATCCACTCTATGTGCACTCGTATAATTCAGGTTTTGATAAAGCTGAAAAATAACCAGAAAATGCTACAGAAGAAACGTACTCAACGCTGCTCTAAATACTGCCAGGGAGATACAATACGTAGTGTCTGAGTCCCCCTCTTCAGGCATACAATAAAATATTTTTAATTTACCTGCTTGTTAATTATTTCTATTATTCGGATGATAAAATATTCCAAGATCTGGCAGTTGTCCAGCCTCAGATGGAATTCACTGAGGTCTAGAGAGTCCTGTGGAGGTTCAGGCCAGTATCTGTGACACTTGACTTTTCCAAGCTCCACTTCTTTCGTCATCATGGCAATCACATCTGACTCATTCTCCCAAATCATTTGCCAGAAATCAGCCACAGTGCAAGGCAGAGGCCCTTGTGTTGAAATATAGAAATGTTCCTCTTCTCCAATATGCGTTCGGATGTAACTTGCATTAATATAGCCCCTGGTTGCTCCAAGAGGAACCCGTGTCGCATCATCTGGACAGAAAGAAAAAGTCCTCTGAAGTTTTGCTATTTCAGCTGGAGATCCAAATTCATGTCTCTATCTAGGATCTAAGGGGAGCTTGAATATCAAGCAGTTGAATGTTGTCTCAGTGATATTCATGGTGCATTTGGCTGGCCAAACAGCACTAATATCCCTGTTAGCAGGCAATTCCTACAATCGTATTATATGATTCATCTCTTTCTGCTAAGACCTATATTGTTTCTTTAATGCACTTCTGTCACAATCTGACAAGTCTTATAACAGGGTCCTATGGTAATAGTCCAAAACGCTGCAGCTCACCCTACTGTTACCTGAACCAGTACCATATGATACTATAAAGTTTCTATAACACAGGGAACTTAAAAAACTTGTAATATTTCTCCAATATTACAGAACACTGCAATGCAACATATCCTGTATTTTTATTCCCATTGTTACAGATTACAAAGAGGTCTGTGTGTAAATGAAAATGGCATAATGCTCTGTTAATAGTGAACATTCTGCTGTGGCAATCAAGTCTTCATTCCAGAAGCCAGCTCCGATTGGTTGTGAAACTTTTGTGCCTTGCTTGGATTGATCAATGGGGATTTGGGGTCTGCAGGTTGGATCAGAAAATATATGTTCTCTGATGCTTGGGAAAGTAGGAAAGAATTTTACCCCTTTTTGGGGGCCTCCATCATGCTGGGACAGAATTCCACTGTATCAGAGTCAGTTGACTGGCTTTAAAGCGCAGCCATTACAGTTAGGGTTAAATCTTCCTGTGCAAAATTTAGGAAGACATTCTATGGCAGAGGTGGGCAAACTTTTTGGCCCGAGGGCCAGATTGGGGTTGCAAAACTGTATGGAGGTCTGGGTATGGAAGGCTGTATCTCCCCAAACAGCCTGGCCCTCACCCCCTATCCACCCCCTCCCACTTCCCGCCCCCTGACTGCCCCCCTTAGAACTCCCAACCCATCCAACCCCCCCTGCTCCTTGTCCCCTAACTGCCCCCTCCCCATCCACACTCCCGCCCCCTGACAGGCCCCCCATGACTCCCACGCTTATCCAAACCCCCGTTCCCCATCCCCTCGATCGCCCCTCCCCCCCCGATCCTCCACCCCATCCAACCACCCCCTGCTCCCTGTCCCCTGACTGCCCCCCCAGGACTCCCCGCCCCTTATCCAAACCTCTGGCCCCGGCCCCCTTACCATGACACTCAGAGTTGCATGCCTGGCAGCCGTGCCACCTGGCTGGAGCTAGACATGCTGCAGCGCTGCCCTGCAGGAGCGCGCAGCCCCACCGCCCAGAGCGCTGCCCGCACGGCGGCATAGCTGTGGGGGAGTGGGGAGAGCAAGGGAGGGGCAGGGGGCTAGCCTCCTGGGCTGGGAGCTCAAGGGCTGGGCAGGACGATCCTGCGGGCCAGATGTGACCCGCGGGCCATAGTTTGCCCACCTCTGTTCTATGGAGACAGAGAAGGGACTAAATCCCACATTTCACCTCCCACCTCTCCTGCACGCCTGGGAACAATGTCTGGGGAATCTAGACAGCAGCAAATTCATTGGCCTTACTCTTGCCTTACTCCCAAAAATGCACTGTAGAGGGGAAGAGCAGGGGTCCAAACCTCCTGCATGAACCCCACCAATTCTACCCACTACCTGTGTACCAGATTCCACTGTTTCTGGAGCCCACCATGACAAGAGGAGGGGCTGGATGTGCCTGCTATAACTCAGCCTACCAGCTGTTTTCCTGGCTCCCATGTATTCTTCAAGTGTTTTTTAAGGTCCGTTAGTGTACTTGCTTACATGGAAGGATATCTCGGTATCTGTTTTTCTCCCGGTTTTCTGGCGCTTTCCCAACTTGGCAGCCATCGAGCGGTTTCATGTGTTCTAAAGCCTAGATCAAAGGTAGACAATCAAGACACTTCATTTCCTGCCTCCAAAGAAAAGCTGCAGGGTTAGCATTAGGACTCACCATCAATGTAGGTGACCTATGACTAGGAAACAGAGTTTTGTTTGGAATACACTCAATACGCCCTACTCTATATTTTCAGGTAGGACACGAGGCCCAAAAGCAAGGCACTTTCATTTCCCATCTTCTAAATACTTTGAGACCCCCAGTGACATCCTTCAGCCCCCAAGAGTGAGTATTTCCAGGGATTTCCCATGAGATTTCAAACAAGGTCCTGAGCACGAGTGTGATAAATGAAGGGCGGGG